TGGTTGAAAAAGAAGAAAAAAGTATTGATGTGATGAAAAATATTATTTTATTGAAGAATATGTGGTTGAAAATAAGAATTAATTTACTGTAGAAAAAATTAATTCCTCCCAAACAGGGCCTTAATCTTCTAGATCTTTTGAAGTATTAAATTATTTTTTAAACTTATTTACTTATAAGTAACTTTTTAAGACTATAAACCCAAATGCCATGGAAAACCAAAAACCTACCTAAATACATTTTGACTATTGAACAAGTACTTTAGGTGCATTTTGATTATAGAATAAGTATTATAGGTTTAAAAAAACACGTGACAAGACAAGTCAACCAAGAATAGTGAATTTAATTTATGAAACTGTTTTAATTCCTTGAAAAATCAATGAAGGACTTTAAGTCCAACATAATCACTTTTTTTTTTGTAAGAATTCCATGTAAATTAATAGCGACAGACGACTTTTATTATTTACTTTATTCAACATAGCTTTTCAGCAATTACTTTTCTAATAGAATTTATTTCCCTTAAGATTAAGTTTAAACTTTTCTTAATTTAAATTCTATCCAAACGTGCTCAAAATTAAATTGACGTGAAAACCGCCATTAATCTCACATAACCCTCGAGTAAACATATTAAGTTAAAAAACGAACTTTAGCTTCTTAGAATGTAAGGGTCACGTAACGATTTAGTTTCCATTATTAACGATTAATTGTGCAATTATAATGGTAGAATAGGGATCAAATTAATCTTTTTTGAAGTTGAGGACCAACATTCTATTGAAGCAATATGTTGGTTACCTGTGGTGCAATTATTTTCGTATAATTCTCACCCGAAAATATAGTTTAGGAATACCGTTGGAATCTGGCATTTCCAGACAAAATCTCAAATATTAGAATTTTCCTCGTCGGCATAGTAGAAGACATTGTATCGATTAATGACAATGATTTAGGGTCCCTACATAAAATAATTATCAATTATGCCCCATGTACAGAAATTATTTTCACGAGGACTCACCAGAATACTCACATGAGTGGGCTTCACCATGTATTTAAAAAAAAAAAAAAAAATATTATGCGTGGGGCCCACTCATGTGAGTATTCCATGAGTTTTCTGTGGAAATTTCTTCTATACATGTAGAGACGGTCTTGTTTTATAATTTAAATAAAATTTTTAGTGACACGTTTCTTTCATTTCAAACTCAAGTTGTTGACGTTAAACTTTACTATAAGAATTACTTACTAAATTTGGGCAAAAATTTTGTTCACTTGGCATCTTTTAAGGACAGCAAAAATATAGGGCCGATTTCAGAACGTGTGATTGAAAAGAAAATACAGAAAAATGTATTTGACATTTTAATGGGTGCCAAACGGGGTAACTTAAGGATCTAGCAAGCAACTTCTCAGTCGACTAACCTTACAGATAGGGTGGACAAAAATACCACCAAATAAAACCAAACCATTTGGAAATAGTTTGTTTTAAATTTCCGAAGTTAAAAATCGCTTGAAACGGACCGTGCCATTCGCCCTTTTTTTTTTAAAGGAAAAAATTATTTGTTTTATTTAATAGATATTATTTATTAGATCAATTTTCTTTCCAAATATATTTCCTATAATTTTTTATTTTGTCCTGGTTTCAATTTAAATTTTCTATAAAGAATATCAAACCCTAATTTTAATGAATAAATTTAGAATAATATTATTTATTATGATGATGATGATGAAATATCGATAATGTGATAGTTTATGTGAAATAATGTGATTTGACGGTTCAATTTTTATGAGAGAGAACTATGTGGGATAATGAGTTGTTACATTACTGATATTTTATTATCATGACGATAAATAACATTACCCGTAAATTATGTACAGTCCAAGATAGACTTTTCGCTACGGCAAACACAACAAATCAACACGTTACTCACTTTTATGATGTTTTTAGCTCGACGGCAGCCATCTTGCAATTTGTGTCTCATTCAAATAATTGCACAAATAAACAATTGCAATGAAGGGAAAGAGATGTGGATTCAATGTATGTTATTGAATAAATTTTATTCAATAATTAAGGAATCCTATATAGAAAATTAAAAGTTTAATGTGTATTCTAATATTTATACAATTCCTCGGTCAGAATAAACTTAATCACGCATACAATTTGATCATGTTCATTTTTGACTATTTTCATATTGGTTGTCGATGGAGAAATTTCTAATCTATATTTTATCGATATAGTCGTTCAAGTATTTTCGACGGTTACGCCGACGGATTCTTAATTGGTACTTTATGACAAAAACTTTTTTATTTTATAACCGTGGATATTCGGGTCAGATTGCGCGCACCTCGACTAATTCCACGAGGTCCTGAAGTTTACGGTCGGGTACTCACTTCAGTGGCCCTGAGGGGACTCGAACTGGAATAGATAATGTTGTTGAAGGGAATCGAACCCAAGAATCTCATGTGGAAAAACGCTTATCTTCCAAATGATCTACACGATTTTTTTTCTTTATAACAAAAATTATTTGATAGGAATTATCAATTAGAAGTCATCTTGGACTTCTAACTGATTTTTTTTTTTTCCCATCGATGAAGTTACTTTAGATTACAGATGAAAAATTATTTTTCTCGATATTTTACCAATAACCTTTACGCCTACAGGTTTTTGATACGTTATTTTTATCGTGAAGTCTTTTACTAAAGGATATCGCCTTCGAAGACGGAGAAATACGTTGTTCTAATTAAAATTTTTGGATACAGTAAAAAGTTGAAAGATGCTTCTTAGTACGCACCTTTATTTGATAATATATGTACTAAGCAGACATTAGTCTTAAACTTTTTTTCTAAAAAAAATGGTTCAGATTAATCCCCCGACCCGACAAAAAGATGGATTGGCTGGGCCCATCAACCGAAATATGGGCCAAACCCCAGTTGACGGATGAAATTGACCAGTTGCAAGTTGATCCTTGCAAGTCAAGTTGTTGCGTAACTTATTAATCTTTTTAGACACAAAAGTCAAGCTTGAGGTCCAATGGTCTTCTCACGTGCCATCAAGATATGTACAAATTTATTATAATACTATTCACAGATAAAGTTTCAGTAAGGCCCTATTTGATTCAACAAAAATTTCATGGAAAATGGAGAAGAAATTTCATTTCCATCCAAATGACATGTTTGATTGGAATTCATTTCTTGGCAATTAATTTTCCAACCACAGCCCCACACGTGCCCAATTCTTGGTTTTGGTGGAAATTGGTTTTCTATATATATTTATTTTTAAATTTTTGACAATGGAAACAAATTCTATCCCCAATTGTAAAATTTTTTTTCATTTAATTGATGATTTTCATGGAAAATAAAGTCAAACGAACACTAAAAGATCCGAATTTTCAACATTTTTCAGGTGAAAAATTATACCAATCAAACACAATTAATTGACAATTCCCAGTAAAATGATTTTTTATACAATTTAATTTCCCGAAATTCATTTTCTTTCCACCCAAACTCCATCATTACAATCAAACGAACCTTAATAGAAATTTTACCATCGACATGATCTCAACTCTTCACGGACAACGTATTTACATATAAAATACGTCTAAGTCCCTGTTTGATAATAATTAAAATTCAGATTTTAATTTAAGTCAAAGTTAATGATCAATTTTAACTATATTTTCTATGGGTCCCACAACTTTTCAATTTCACATTTCATAACTTTTATCAAATTCTAATTTTAGTCTTCTATTTTATTTTATTTTGTTGACCGCCATGCAAGAGCGGAATCGAGTCGAGGATTTCGTGTACTCACAACTATGTTTATTTTGTGTTTCAAAATATCTTATAATTCTTGGTTGGAAGATGTGTATTGGAAAATTCTTCATTAAACAATGCACGTTTAATAATACAAAGATGTGGAATTAGACCGTAGACCTTTTTTCTAATCATTTAGACGTTTGTGATAGTATTAACAATTGCATACAGTCTACGGTAGATTGAATTTATTTATTTAAATATTATTTTCAAGACGTGCGTTCATTGAATTCTACTTAATCGTTTGACGCACATAATTTTTTTATATCCAAGATGAGACTTGAAATTAGATCTTTGACACGTCTTCAATATCATGTTAATAGTCTCATTTAAAAACACGAAACTATTAAAGATGAACTATAGATTACTCATTTGAACCGTTTTCTCAATAGAAAATGTACTCAAAGGTTCGAACAATCCGTCTATGGACCAGGTAAATTTTTGTGGAGCTTGATAGGCAGCAGCTAAGCAAGCAACTAACCTAAAGATGTAAATTAGAAATTACTAACCCGCTACATCTTGATGATCCAACACGACCCTTTTTACTTGTAGCTCGGTATACTTTAGGCTAAACATGGCCTCTTGAAAGGGGAGGATCCAATTGAGACATGACCTATTTCAAATTGGATCATCCTTATTCTGTAACGAATAATCTTGCACATATTTATCCCTCAATTCGATCCAAACTTATGATCAAAGTAACAAAAAAGCAGTTAGTCATGCACTGACTCATAGTCAACAGAGGACGAACAGAGCTTGCTTGGCTCTGTCCATTTAGAATAATCCTTATTAGTGTTGAGCCAGCTTTTGCACTCATTTACACACCGATTCGAGTTGACTGACGGGACCCGACCCGACCCGACCCTACCCTATCCAAATCAACACAAATACGTAGAAGTCGCATGGAAACGGGCAATTGGCGGAATGTCACCATAGAAAGAAACCTCTACCATGCATCTTCCAAAGTGATAAAATCAAAAGGACAAATTCAATCAACCTAGCCACTTTTTTGCCATCTCATGATGTTTCTTCGCTCCACCTCAGAACCCTCCATGAAACCTCCTATCCCGTCACCCTATCCAAATTATTGTCACCCCTTTATAAATCATTCCCCCCTCACTCATTTATTTCCACTCAAATATTCCATCCTAAATCAATTCATTAATTGCAGTCAATTCCTCGATTACTTATCCAATTCTCGTCTAAAATGGCATCTGCTCTTGAATTCATACGCCAACATCTTCTTGATGATTATACTTTCATGGAAGAAAACTCTCAAGCTTCTTCGAATTACTTTGAGTTTGAAACAAAGCCACAGATTATTAACACAAACCCTGTAAAACCAACTAGCTTTAATGATAGAAAACCTTCGCTGAACATTGCTATTCCAGAAGCGAGCAAGAAAGTAGCGTACTTTGGGAGTAATAATGTTAGCAACAGTACTGTTCTTGAACGGAAAGTTGAAGAATCCGATGACCGGAGGCATTACCGGGGTGTCAGGCAACGTCCGTGGGGGAAGTTCGCGGCGGAGATTCGTGATCCTAATCGAAAAGGGACACGGATTTGGCTGGGGACTTTCGACACGGCGGTTGAGGCGGCGAAAGCTTACGACAGGGCGGCGTTTAAGCTGAGAGGCAGCAAGGCTATACTGAATTTTCCACTTGAAATTGGAAAATCTAATCCCCTGCCGGAAAATGATGCTCCGCTGAAGGCTTGCCGGAAAAGGGCTAGAGAAAATGAGAACGAAGAGATAGAAAAGAAGGAGGTGAAGAGAGAGGAGGCGCAAGAATTGCCAGCCGCTGCCGTTCCTTTAACGCCGTCAAGTTGGACGGCGGTTTGGGACTGTGTAGATATGAAAGGCATCTTCGAAGTGCCGCCGTTATCTCCCTATTCAAATTTGGGTTGCCCAAGGCTTATGGTTATTTGATTTTGTTGGATTAACATGAACCCGACGCTAAACTGGGGTTATTCTAGAATTAAAAAGTTGGGGGTATAAGTCAGAAACTCTCTCCCTCTCTCGGTTTTTTTTTTTTTTTCCTTTCTTAAATTTAGTCTATATAGAATAAATATCTGTTTATTCGTTTAGCACGTATCTAATTAAAGTAAAAAAAAAAACTATCTTGAAAATCCAACGTTCTCGTTTGTGATTCTTCCGCTTCGTCCAACAAAAATATTCGTCGACAATAAAAATTAGTTTTGATAATCTTTGTGCGATTTTATTTTGATGGTAGAATTCTTGAAGACGATGAGAAAGCTTTTGACTTTTAATTAGGGTCTTGATTCCTACAAGGAACATTGGCCTCCTTTCGAGCATACGAAATTATTAGATTAGACGAGAATGGAAAAGATAATGAACAAAATTTTTGCATGTTTATGATTGTCAACTTAGTCGAATCTAGTTTAGTCCAAGATTATAAATATATAACTTGCCGATGTAATAAATTATGAGAAATGATATTTGTATCGAGGGGGACTATCAAATTGTGTCCTCGACCCCTCACATGATTTGTGGGCCCCGCGCTCATTTAAAAATGTCGAGCTGAGGCCCCACCCCCTAATGTGAGAGGAGGACATCAGTCGGTAATCTCCACTCGTTAAATGTAGCACGACTCATAAATTATTGTCTTCAAAATATTGTACGATCGTTCTAATTACACCCTTATTTAATGGTCAACGATTTTTTACATATATGGGTGGTATATCTGTATATTGAATCGTCGACATTCAATTACAAGTTTATTTTGATTGGCTCATTTCATGTAAACAAAGACTTTGTTTGGCTAAGCTCAGGGCCAAGTCACGGGGGACCAAAAAAAATTAATACTGTACTAATACGACAAAAAGTAAAATCATTAAAAAAAAAAAAGTGAAAACTACAGGGACCCAGTTTTTTTAAAATCTCAATTCATAAATCATATATTAGACTTTATTAATTCAAAAATCAAATGTTTTGTTAATAAATAAATACTTTTTTTTTTTAACTAAATATAACTACTGCCTTTTTTGGAGAAAATATCATATATATCAAATTGGAGAGAGAAAAACATACATACCACCCATGATAAGCTTCTTCTTCTCCATAAATCATCAAAGTTCATTAAAAATCAGATCTCCATTTGTAACATTCTATACTCACATTCCAATTCAACATATTTGCTACACGATTATTCATATTCTCCGAGTCA